TACATTAGTCAATAACTTTAACAATTATACAATTAGAAAGTATTGAAATGATCGGGTACAGTCGAAGGTGAGGAGAGTCCGCTCTCCTTCTTGAAATGCTCTTATATGGCCATAACTACCTACATACATACCGACTATTAAAAAAAATCCTATTCATTGTCTTCTTGTGGTGAGGAGGGGTTATTTACGAAATTGAGATGACGAAAAGCGGAAGTCCGACGATTTAACCAAGGAGAGTTGAAAAACTTTGATACTAAAACCAATCGTGTACATTGGCTTCAAAATCATAAGGGAACAAATGATGTATGAACCAATTGTTGATCATCGGCTACCATAAGACTACATCTCCTAACGTTACTCCACTGCCTTATGGATCATATCTTTAGGCAAAAGACTCGAGTTGTGGCCCTTTAAGAAAATCATCTACTTTAGTTTGAGTGTCCAAGCAATATGCCAGCCTACACACAAATCAAATAACACATTGTGGCTTAAATGCATTCAATATCTCCATGTACTAATGTTTATGTATTTCCTGTACAATATTGGATAAATATAATCCACTTTATTGAACAAATTAAAACTAGATAACCTATAAGATACTATGCAATTAGTAACTTTGGAAACATTTAACTATTTAACATTATAAGATTGTTCAAAGATTCAAATCCCTTTTCTTGTTATTGCTGAGACAATAACCATTAATCAAGGTCAATGTTTTTGTTTAATAAAACAAACCAATCCATCATTGGCTATTGATTGGATGTGCAACAAAACGATTTTGTTATTGATTAAAAAATAATCAATATACTGAAACTAGTACAAATATATATCCATATATGCATATACATATATGGGAAAGTTCTAGGATTATTACGGGGCGGGAACCTGAAGAACTACGAAAGCCATCATCTAAAAGATACAAGTGTTTATTAACAGCTATCCACACAAAATACTTCAAATTTGTTGGCCAGACACTTTCATCAACAACAACCTATTGTAGGAGAGAACAAACCAAATTCTAGCGGAAAAAGAAATCAGGAAGAAGCTCCGAAAGTGGATAGAATACACATTGAGGAAAGCACACAACCACATCACAAGACAATCACTTATTTGGAATCCTCAAGGCTAAAAGAGGAGAAGTGGAAGACCAAAGAACATAGTACATCGAGAAATGGAAACAGATATGAGAAAAATGAATAACAATTGGATAGAATTGGAAAGGAAGGCCGAGGATAGAGTGGGTTGGAAAATGCTGGTGAGCGGCCTATGCTCCACTGGCAGTAACAGGTGTAAGTAAGTAAGTAAGTAATAATGGGCTAGTCAAAAGTTACTTAATGAAAAGACAATAATGCATGTGATTAGGCAATAAATCGCTTCATTCTCTGAGCATATATATCTATATACATAAGACAGTCATTGTGTATATAATTCACCTTATCACAATGAACTTCTTACTCTACTCTTAGTCTTTTCAATCAGTAACCGTTTGAAGGACTGCGTATATGAAGTTTTTATATCAAACGAAGATATTCCATCCAATTGTCTTGTCGAAGAATATTCTAAAATCCCTACATGTAGCTTCCCTATTGGACAAATGCTAATAACCTCTTGTATACGGATTGAAGGACTATAATAATGATTTCGTTCTTATTAAAAACTATAAATATCAGACAGTTTTGTACCATAATTGACACTGTTTGGAACAGCATTCCTTTCAATTGTCTTTTGTCTTCTCATATACAACTTGGGAGTGTTCCAGCGTTCTAGTGCTCAAATTGTACGCAGTATATTAAGGATATCAGCTCTAGATATAACAACTGGCGTCGGGGTTAACTTATCAAGATGTCATTTACCTTTACCCGATTTGAAGCCTTATTGGAACGTCAAGAAAAAGATAACGAACAGTTCTCGATTCGTATTCTAGAAGCTCTAACCTAGTAAATGAACCTAAATCAAAAGAGGCTTAGAGATGTTCCGTTCAAATCTCATGTCAACCATATTATTAATTCTATCTATGAATTTCATTTTGATGGCTTAGCTGGTGTTACATTAGAATTATGGTTCAAGAAATACGAAGATGTATTCAAGGTCGACCTGGAAAAATTTGATGATGCCGCAAAGTTCAAAGTACTGCTACGCAAACTTGTCATAGCTGAATATGAACGCTACACCGACTTTATTCTCCCCAAGAATTCCATCCCCGTCGGCACTGATATATCCTGTCGATTGAACGCTACATGTTATATCTGGTTGTCGTCGTTGTAATTTTAGGTTAATAAATCATTACTTATACCAGTTTTTGTGTTCTTACTTTCGCGTCGTGGGAATCGCAAAATTCCTTGGTTTCGAGTATAAGTGATAAGTGATTGTGACATAACAATCAGCGATGACCAGATATAAGAAGTAGTGTTCAATCGACAAGACATATCAATCTGGATTAATATAATACTTGATCTATGATAGTAAAATATCAATACTGTTCATTACAATAGAGGTTTTTATTTTCATATGTAAGATAACCTAAAATAATGAACGAACCATTGATTTAACAATAAAATTGTTTAACCAATAAAACTATTCCGATTATGGAACATCATGAATGAAGAGTTGAATTTAGAGTCAATCAGTCAGCCGGTCAGTCAGTCAGTCAGTCAGTAAATCAGCTTCAAAGTAGAACCAAGCACATTGGTACAAGTTGCCATACCTCACTCATTAGCACAACAAGATGGACACAGGATTCATAAAAGTAGTTAATTCAGAGGTGCTAATATATAAAAGAAAGATTGCATATAAGGATATAGTACGGGAAGAAAGATTTAGTACGAAGAAAGAAGGATATGAAGTGATTTTAAACTCTTAGTTTAAGGGAAGACAGAGAGTGTATACACATACGCCATTGCGATCGATTCTGAGTCATGTCACCAAGAGTCTCCAACCGTTAAATACGATAGTCACGTGGACCCCAACCAAGTAGTCTGCATCTACCACCAACATGAGTCAGACTAGAGGTTAGTGACTTCGAGCACTAATATCTAATGTATTAGTAACTTTTCATCTATAGACATCAATAGTCAATGATTTCTTCAATATTATTTTAATAAATAAACCGTTTATTCGTTGACTATCAACTGACATTACATGTTTATCTCATAGATTAATTGAAATCTTATATACTTGAATCTATTTAACTGATCTAGTCTTTGAATAATACATTCAATTTATACCGTGATTATCATGAATAAAGAAGTACTTTATGATGATTTATATGGTTCTTGTAAGTAATTAATGGAAACTGCGAAATCTTTATACTTTATAGAACTCACTAACTGAACGGACAATGCGATTGCGTTTGAAGCGAGTTGTACTGGGTTCAAGTCCTAACTGAAGAATCCCAAAGAGAAATAAACGTGCATTCTGAATTCCACTGCTAGTCACTATTTGTCTTTGCTTAGAATGCTTGTGAATGAAGGCAATATTGAGGCAATCCACACAAGGATGCACATATGCCAATGAGTGACTACTCAATTGCAGTCTTAAACCCCAATGGGAAGATCCAACCAAAACTATACCAAGTGAACTTTATATTAATGTTTGCTTTAATCTTTAATGGTTCGGTCACATATTGATAGCTGAACTAAATCCTTTAGTTATATATTCCAGCTTGTTTAAATATACTAATGTTATGGATGCTATTTACATGATTGATTATAAGTAGTATGTAGAGGGGTATCACATGGGAATTGCTAAGATCGACACTTGAAGACCAGAGTCTTCGATAGCTTAAAGCATAATGATTACAGAATACTTGTGAGACCACAAGAGAAATTATAAAAGATGGTTCACAACCAGTTTAAGTTGTAGAATACACAATAGATACAAGTGGAAGGTTGAATATATTTCATAGGTAATCTATAACCCCTCTAAATAAATATACATATGTATAATCTATTTGGATTTGGTTTATGCGTACATGGCACCAACAATATTCACAATTGATTGATCACTGGGTGTTGATCACTATCATATGTGTCAGGTCCTTCTTAGTGCAGGTCGAATACTATCGAACATGTTGCAATGTGTCCACTAGTCTAGGTGACTCGACATTTTGTGCACTACGTTGAGATAAGGTTGTGGTTGTAGATAGTCAATTTGTCATGTTAAACAGTATGAAGCTTAAGCAGAGACAGTCTAATAGCCAGTTTGTTTTTCTATCTTACTTATGCTTTAGTAGAAAAAAAAGGTAATCCAATTACACAATTGGATTCATCCCAAACATTCTCTATCTTTTGATAATATGATCAAGAAACATTATCAGCATAAACTTTTAATAGAAATGAATTATTCAAATTCCTAAACATATAACTAATATCAGAACGGATTTTGTGGATATTATAGTCATTTGAACGGTTGGAATCATGAGTCAATTGAAGCTAGATTACCATGAAAAACATCAGAACGAAACAATCGTCCAATGCTTCCAGGTTTACCATGGTAATCTAGCTTCAATTGACTCATGAATTCAACTATTATAATTACTATAATATCCACGAAAACCCTTCTGATATTAATCAATATATGCTCACTAGTGATTGGCTTCAATAGGTATTTCCAGGAGTTCTGACGAAAAGCTGTAAATAGTGGAGTTCAACCGGGTCTAGTGTGAGATACTAACTCACTGAAGACAATGATGAATGTGTCACTCAATATCGTGGATTAGTTAAAGTTATACATTAACATCGTTGGATGCCGGCCAGCCCAGTAGTTTGGAGTTTAAGCGTTCGCGCACGAGAATGATAGATCCTAATTTCGGATCCCACGAGGCGAAGTTGTAGATGCGCACTGTTGAGGTAGTCCTACAATCGGTTGAAATGACCATTCAGTACCTTAATTGACTCATGATCTCAACAATTAAATTCAATATAATGAACAGTCATTTCTTATCAGTATAGAATAAAAATTAAGATCATATATAAAAAGAAAATCCTTTTTCTATTACTTACAATATAATGCTTCATTTCTATGTCGAAACCATACAGTCACATCCATTCTATATCCATCTGGATCAAATATTTCACCGCCAACTTTAATCACTGATGTTTCATATGATCTTGCACTTGGACTAATTGAACCACCACGTAAATTTAATGATTTCCCTGGTGCCATTTATAAATTAATCAATAATGATTATTATTTAATTGATTATTGATTATCAATGAATAATCAATAATGAATCCACAATATGATCAATATGGTTAAGATCGTTTTCTTTTATTAAACAATCACTAAGATAGTTCAATTGAATATGTTGGTAATAAAAATGTGTATAGTTTATATTTGAATAGTTTTCTATTTCAAGGTCAACTCATTGATTGCTGATTGGTTGAAAATGTCGACCATACAAATTAAAGAATAAAAAAAAACGCGTAGGCGTTATTTGGCCATAGATACAAATAATTATTATTATTATAGCAATAGTAATAATGGTAACCTTTTGCCAATCTTGTATAATCCCATACATAATACAATGGACTATTATTACTACTTATATTACTACTTATATTATTATTAATTAATTAATTAAGTTTTCAATGATAATCTTACTTTATTTTTTAAAAGAAAGAATAAACAATAACACTAGTAGGTTAAAAGAGGTTCAAATGAATTTGTTATGTTTCTATCTATAGGTTCCTTCATATTTCTTTTTTTTGTTGTTGTTGTATTTTTCTTTTCATTCATTAAGTAATCGAAATGTTTCACATATCGGGGACTAAATATTACATGTACCGGTCATAAATATGTACAGGTGAATAAATGAAGATACATTTATTCATTTATAATGATCTATAATTTAGATGAATAATACACAAAGCACACACACACATTTACACATACACTCACACATATAATTATATACATACATACAAACATGGTATAACCATTCATACATGGATACAAACATATACACATAACCATTTTGGTTAGTCCATATCCATTTGGGGGGGGGGGAATGTTACACACACATATATATATATGAAGTAATAAACCAATAGTATTTACATAAAATTGATGTAATTTTTCCCATTTTGCAAATGTTTCATCATTGATTATTTTATTATGATACAATGTAAATGATGTAGAAACTGACGTCAAATGATAAATACATATTATGTGGATATGTGGATCACCTTGACTACTATTTTAAAGTTCAAATATATATACATATATATATATATATATATATATATATATATATATATACCCATAGATTTATTAACATCAATATGTATACTCTCTTCAAAACATTCATTGAATTCAATAGAAACAGAGAGAATTCAACATACGCTGTAAAATCAGAAAACGGAGGTTTTATGGAGATTGTAATGATTAATAATAGTTGAATTCATGAGGCAATTTAAATTAGACCACTAAAGAAAACTTAGAAGTACTAGAGGTCTGTTTTGTCCCAGTATGAAACTCCTCAACAATGTAAATCTACAATTCCGCATGTGAAATTCGAACCCAGAGTCTATCAGTCTCTCGAGTAAACTCTTAACCTATAGACCACTGAGCGGGTTACCATCGAATGATGTTAATATCTAACTTTAACTAATCCACAAAATTGAGCGACACATCTATCATTGTCTTCAATGAGTTACTATCTCACAACAGAACTCTACTGGTTATGGCTTCTAATCAAAACTGCAGAAAATACTTCTTAGTGAGCACATAATCATTATTATCAGAAAGTGGGTTTTGTGCACATTGTATTCATTTAACAGTTGAATTCTTACACAAATTAATAGGTATTCAATACATCGGTGCTTTTGTACCATAGATTTCGTATATAAATTAATCGAATAAAAACTGTTGAAATAAATTGAATTAGTTGGAGTCGCACATTAACACCGTTGCATATCGGTCCAATAGTCTAGAGTTTAAGAGTTCACGCGTGAAACCTAAGATCCTGGGTTCGAATCCCACAGGCAAGGTTATGCATGCGCACTATTGTATTCTGTACCAGGAGGAAACGATTTAATACACAAACAGGCAGACATGTATTAGATACATAAATGTTTACATTCAACATGTATATGACTTCTTTTTCAAAGAAAACGAATATCCTTGTTATACAAAAACAATTTATTCATGATATACAAATGTACTGACTACACTTTTTGGCGAGACTATAATTTATGGATAAACCAATCAGATTTACGATAACAGATCTTGTATTTTGGCGCCAAATTCATCCATCCATTTGACTAAATAAAATCTTGACGTTATAGTTGATGTCAGTTCGTGATGATGAAAACCTTAAATGTAATTCTTAACCCTAATCATCAACTATAAATCATCATTCTAATTCGTCATACTTGGTTTATAATCATCGTTTAACCCTACTAAGTAGCTGTATACTCTCAAGGTCACTTCGGCGTTGTTCAAAGGTCATCCATCAATTATAGTCTCACCAAATTATGCTTTTATACATCTTAGACATTGATGAACCACAATTCATATTCATTTGTAAATGCTTACGACTATTTTTACTTTCATGATATCTTATCTGATCAACGAATATATTATGATGCATTCATGCTCTATTCCAGTAATTTCATTACTCCGACTTGAATACTGTGAATAAACACTACTTATGTCCTGTCCTTTTACCTACCCATCTGATATCAGTTTAGTAGATTAAGCTGTTTACTATTGATCCAGTGTAATCAATCGAATTACATTCACTTTATCGATTTGTTTTGAGTTGCATATGTTCTACAACTGTAGGAATGTTGTCCTTGTTTTGCCAATTCTCACTTCTACGTTTGCATCAGATCCTTCAAGTTCATCGATGATGCTACCCAGATATGTGAAACTTTCCACCTACTCCAGAGTTTCTCGATCAAGTACTGGACAGCCGTCTTGTCTTAATATGGGACGTCTCAGAACGGGAGATCTCCGGTCGCCCACGTGAACGCTAAATCTCAAGACTACTGAGCTGATATCAAATGTCTAAGTTTCATCAATCTATAATCTTGCGCAAACCATCTATTGTCTAAGGTGGATGACTGTCTCACACTCAACATGGATTAGACTCCACTCGTCATGTACATGCCTCGCTGCGGAGTCTCATACTAGGACGAAACGGTAGTGAGATTCGAGAACGCGAGCTTAAAGTTTTAGTTCAAAATTCAAAAATCACTTAAAATGAACAGAATAGGGCTCAGAACATTGAAAATAAAAATAAAAAGCTACACCACAGGATGATGAGAATCTTGAAACACACCTTACCTCGGTGACACTATACTTTATAAACGCGGTTCATGATAAGTCTTGAACACTATATTAGGTTCCCAAGCTATTCTCGTAACCCCCAAGCTAGAACTACGCATAGACCTGAACATGAGAGAAAAGGCGTGAAATATGCGAGAAGCACTTTACTCCAAAGGTTTGTTTTAGTACAGAAAATATAGGATTTTATAGTATTTTCGATTTCCTCGGGTTTCTCGAAGAGTCTGGAATGCTACTAAACATAGTAGCAGTATAGTAATCAGCCAGTCAGAAACTCTACATGTGACTTTTCACTTTCTTGATGTTTCTGGCTAAACTTCAAATAAACGCTGAATGGATAAAATGCATCTTAGTGTTTTCCTGATCCTTTCTTGGCTTTTTCGAGAGGTTTTCCGGATCACTTCAACAGTTCATTCGTCCAAAAAGCCATGGTACATTTTCATATTTTATCTGATATCGGTTTGTGTTTAAAACCCATAGAAGACTTCAATAGATTTATTATTTATGTAAAACATCTCTTTCTCATAAACTATCCACTTACAAAAGCTGTTTACTGATTGCCTAATAGCTGGTTGACAATTCATCATTGTTGTTTTAATCTATTTCCTATCCTAATCATGTGGTATATGCTACTGATGTCAATAGATATAAGTAGTATGTATCATCAATTAGAAGTGAAATGTCTGACAGCAGAAGGTTAAGAAGATTAAAGAAAAGAGAACGAGCACAGTGAATGATTGATGTGGAAACAAAAGAACAATGAAGTCGGAAACAATTAACTGACATTTTACTATCTAGTTCTTAGATTTTTCTAAGTGATTCTATTGTGTTCAAATACAGTCGATTATCCCTTGCCTGTGTTCTCGTTCACTATAATAGATCTATAAGATAATGGAGTTTAGTACTCGTCCATATCATTTATAGACAATATTTGAGTTTTTATGTGGTGTTTCATGAAGTTATGCTTTCCTATTGTTGATTCGCTGAACTACATTTGATCGATCTTTATTAATATGAATGATCCATTAGTGGATCCTTATTTATCGATTGTATTTATAAATTGATTATATTCCCAAATACGAAATAGTAATGGAAATACAGAACACAAATTTTGTCTAAGTTAGAGATTATTAGCTTGATATGATCATCATTGAGATTCGAATCCATTATCTAGTATTTCGGAATGTTATATACCACTCTATACAGCCTGGTAGTCATTAACTTGCTTAACAGATATGAATTTCACAGACTGAAATCATGAGTCAGTTGAAGCTAGAACAACATAGAAAACCTGGAAGCACTAGACGGCCGTTTCTTCCTGCTGTGAGTCACCTCAGCAGTGCGCATTCACAATCCCTCACCCCGTGACATTCGAACCTTGGGATATATCAGTCTCCCGTGCAAGCGCTTAACCTCTAGACCATTGAGCCGGTATTCAGTGGTGTTAATGTCTAACTTCAACCAATCCACGAAGTTGCGCCACCGTACACCATTGTCTTCAATGAGTTGATATCTCACAACAGACCTGGTTGAACTCCACTGATAACGGCTTCTCACTAGAACTCCAGGAGTATCTCTTGAATGACGAAACGGCCGTCCAGTGCTTCCAAATTTTCCATGATGGTCTAGCTTCAATTGACTCATGATTTCAATCTGTGAGATATGAATTCATTAGAACAAGTTTGTATATATACAAGACGAAATTTGATCAGTTGGCAATGACATAATGACTCCTTCAATTGGTAACTTAACATTCATAATAATAAATGAATTGAATCTTGGATAACAAAAGAAATTAGTTATATTTTAATATCGATATGTATACTGTGAATTGAATTTAGTTCCTATCACTTAGACATAGTCTTAAATGAATT